GTCGTTTGTTTTTCATAAAATTTAATGGAAATTTTAAGCTTCTTAAAACCCCAAGTTGTTCCGTCTGTATTTGAGACTACAGACTACATCACATCACACAATTGTGGACATAGCTGACCAGCACACCACGTAAAATCATTTTTTTTCATCATTTTATTTTTTCGTTTTTCCAACTCTTTCATCCTTACTTGCCTCACTAGCTCAGACTGCTTGTAAAATTTTAGAAATTTTGATATTTGTTCAACTGTATTTCACAGATTTCTTCTCCATACAAACACTCCGTAACTTCTTCCGTTTGATCTGTTCAGCGCCGCTTCTCCTGGTGGTCACCTTTCTGGCAATATTGACATTCGTCGGCACTTTCAAATGCTCCGTGTGATGATTTTGTCCAATTTGGCAGCACTGTGAAGAGTTGTTGAAAACTAAAACAACCAGAACATTGGGTGCGGTACGCAAGTTAACGATATTATTGGGATGTTCCTATATGCCGGACGAAGCATAAAAATCTACAACTCTTGCTGAAATTATTTTTTACTGAATTAATTTCTTTTTAAATTTTTCTAATCGTGCAGCCTCTTCCTGTCGCTGAACGTTTGCGGTGGGCAATTAAATTTGAGTGAATATCGGATGAAAATTTGGCGCTCAGTCATCAAATGCGCAAATAATCCTTGTCCTGTTCCAGCCCGTTAAAGACACCCTTGACCTCCATGATAAGCTCTCTTCAGTGACATGTTTTTCATCCACGGTGGGGAGCGAACTAATCCTAATCCAAATGTCCCGGCCTTCGTTCAATCACCCCTTCCTCATTTTCATTCATCGGTTTAATCGTTTGGCACCCTTGAACAGAATGGAGGTGCACATCCATTTAGATACCCGCACGAAGCAAATGAGATGCCGCAGAAGCTCAACGTGCAAAGAAACGAAGTTGGTCTAAAAATTAATGGATCGAAAATGAAGGTGATGCAGTGTCCCGGTATGCTTGCTGCAAGATTAAAGACAGATGGTGTGGAACTGGAAGAAGTTGACAGCTACGCCTAGCTCGAACAAAAATTGAATATGCGACACAATCTCCATCCAGAAATTGCACGTCGAAGGAATGCCGGTTGGCGCAAATTCCACAGCAACGCCGACGTCCTCAAAGTGTCGAGCCGGAAAGACCGTACCCACCTTTTTAATACTGCTCTGTTGAAGGCAGTGAAATATGAGCACGAAACATGGCCACTGACGAAAGCTGAAGAATTAACGCTGGCTGACGGAGAAAGCGATGATACGAAGCGTACTTGGAGCGTCTCTTCTCGACCACATAAACAATTTGATTCTCCATTAGAAGAATGGCGTTCGAAGGCGTCATTGCGAGAAAGTAGAATCCGTAAGACAGAAAATGAAGCTTTCCCTTGCCGAGAACCGGAGATCGCGCACGAGAATATAACCGATTCTTTGCGCGGTGGCTGAAGAGCTGGTGCTTATAAATCAAATTGAGCTACAGCCAGAAATGCGTGCCTGCTAAATCTCTCTCCGGCGGGTGGGAGCATCCCAGTAACATCACAAGCAGGGGTATCCAGACGGCCTTGGTATTCCTAGTATTTCTTGGTATTTATACAAATGTCCGCAATTTTTTTCATATTATATTATTATTACAGTTTCTATGCGTATTTCCTTTTCTTCACTGTTATTCACTTATATCTATTCACAACTTGCTAAACTTTAATACCTTGTGAACTTTGACCTCGTGAAATCGAAACTTCAGCGAGCCTTTCTTTCAATGACCTCTACCGCCCCAGACAGTAACTATTCCTTTCTTTCGTCCCCCATTAATCGCATTAAATTGCCACTTTAATTT